CTCTCCTACGTCCTGTGTGTTCAGCCACACATCATTGCTTGTCTTCCTTTCACGTATCTTGTATATGGACGTTTCCAAGCAAAGCCTTCTATACCTTTTCAACTTGAGATGTCACCGTATCAATTTAAGGTGTTTGAATATCAAGAGTTCATGTTGCTATGTGGATAGTTCGATAATGCCCCATCGTTTCACATTGTCTTGTACTTTTTGTGATGCTCTTGTTATCATATGCAGTCCATCCGTGTGGTGATGGTAAGCCTGATGTACAGCAGGAATTCACTAGGTCTGCGAAAGACTCACGACTGTAGACAACACAGTTCAGGATTGTTTGTCTGAGCAACGAAAGGCCACGGATGTGACGTCAACCATATTTGACCACGTGGTCGGTGGANCCATATTTGACCACGTGGTCGGTGGAGGGTGTAACCTTAATGACCAGGTCCAAGCACTCCAAACGGATTCCTGTCGTGGTTTTACCTGACACTTAAGTTGTTTGTGATACGACTATTATCAGGACACGCTATGAAGTCATCTTCAAAATGTTTCAATGAACACATTCTGGTACCAATGATTAGATTCCAGAATGCTGCTATTGTAAACCGGCACGAAGGTGTGTGTATGCGTGTAGTGGGGGTGAGTTTATTACATTCAGGGAGACTAAATTGGTATCCATAATGAAGCGGTATAATTTTATGAGCCATACAGATCAAGCAACCCGTATTACACTAAAATAAGCAAATTGTTCATCGATCCGTAGAGTAGCAGTATTTGGACGCTTTGCACCATGAGCAGCATAAAATGACATCGGTGTGACTGTCAACATGAATAAAGTGATTGATAGATGACCACTCCTGGTGGCTTGTTCCGCCGAACACCGTTACGAATCTATCTTTGCTGAACCGTCACACCAAACTCGAATTTCATTGGACTTGGTTTAGGTAACGAGTGATGATGAGCTACGCGTGCAGCTTAAATATTTCGCGCTAACGAGTAGTAGCAGATGAGGCAGAGGTCATTCGAACGCACTAAACGAACGCCTTACCAAACGTATATTTGGCCCTGCAAGACGTATTCAGTGGTGATGAGCACCTTGGACGTTTGAACCCTTCCGAAGGGCGTATGCTCCGATGAACTGGACACCGACCCCCAATGGATTGCGGTTTTCGCACACCGCCCCGTTGCCTTGCGGGTTAGGCTTCGGCTAGCCAAAATCTCCAGTTGTGGATTCCTCAAGAAAATTCACTTGCCTTGGTCTGGGCAACCTGGCAGTATTCAGCCCACATGCGAATTTTGGAACATCTTTCTTTTTCATAAAGACTATTGTACTATGATTTGTTTGGCACATAATCTGGGTTCAGACTGATCGATAAACGCGGCTGAGTGCGACGCATGCAACTACACACACCAAGCGTATGCACAAGGCAGGTCCCAGTTCGATACCGCCTTATTTTAACCACAGAAGGCAAGAAAGCAAAAAAGCAACGGAGTCAGGTTTACATCTGGACAACACCGAGATGATAAAGATATTCATAAAATCAGAGAATCACGGAGACAGAGAGAGAGAGAAAGAGGCAAAAAGCCTCAGTCACAGATAGGAGCAGAGTTGGTTGCCGACGACGTGCTTCGGCCTCGACGCAATCAGTTTAGGTATGCGGCCAAAAGTGAGAAAAAATGGAAACGGGGGAGAAAGTGATCACAGTTATACATCTCGCGCTCTCCCAGCCTGGTCTGTCTGTGACCAACCACGGAGAGAGAGAGGCAAATAGGCAAGCACTGTATGCGGTGCAACTGAAAATACATAAAACACTGTACAACAATATGTAAAAAGAAAGATTCAAAGGCTACCCCGGGAAAGGTGAATAACCCTGTACAGTGGCAATTGGAAACACATGGTTTCATAAGCTCAATATGCACGCGTGTGGTAAGAAAGCCCGATTAGATGAATTCTTTTGTGCAGGAAAAAAATAATGATAACGAAAGGCAAATGATTCAACAATGGCGGAAACTTGTACCCGCTTAAGTTGATGTGAAACACAACACACGCACACGCGCACATGGAAACACGCACAGGAAAAGACACAGGGTCACGTGTTCGGACCAATTTGAGGAAATATAAGAAACAGCAAAAATAATGGGAAAATCTCTAAAGCATGTCCACATGAAAATGAGTTGGAACAAAGGCAAAAGGAGACGGAAAGCACATCCATATACAAAGACAAACAGAAGTCGGTGGGAAAATACGTGCATCGTTGGGAGCATTAAGAAGGCATTTGGTGAAGATTTTGAATAAGACCCATGAAATGAAGAAATAAGGGGTGGAGAGGGGATGCAAAGATAGAACGGATCCGAAAAGGAAAAGGGAATATGCTTACTTGAATACACGGAAGCAAGTACGCACGCACACACACAAGATACACGCGCACAAATTATTAACGATATGCAGCGTGTGTAGACCGTGTGCGAGACATAAAGGAGAAGAGAAAGACGCAAAATTTGGTTGATCAATTTAACCGAATCACGCGAAGAATAGATAAACGGAGATCTTCGTACGTGTTTGTACGTATGCGAAGAATGTGGGGCCAGAGAAACAGTGGGTCAGAGAGAGAGAGAGTGCATGGGCGGGAATGGAGAGCGGACAATCATACCGTATCCCAATCGGAATTCAAAGGATACCATTTGGTGCTCGAACGTCCAGGAGTTAATGATCGCAGCTGAATGTAGACTTGACCGAGTGAGAAATTCTCGCCCAGATTTACAGCATGCCATGCGGATATTTCGAGAAACCCAACCTGTACATCGTGTGGCGTCAACTCGTACGTGAACTACAAATGAAACAAACCAAATGATAACAGTCAGAAAGAATTGAACAGAGAAGCAACCAATTGGGTAGGGGAATAAGGAAGCCAGTCTGAACAAGCGTACCTATTTGTGTGTGTGCGTTTGCATCTATGGCATAGGCACGTGTCACGCAAGGTACATGAACAAATAATAACATTTCCTAATAGAGAGAGCATAGCCACGCAGAAGAATAGGTCGCATTCATGTTCTCAATCTGTTCGTGTCTTTTACCTTTGCCTAGTTGAACGGTACTTCTGTAACAATTGTCTACGACTCTCGAGGTTTATAGATCAACTTACTGTTGTATTGAATGAGGGAGAGCTGGATCGACGAATTATGGCAGTTTTTCGTTTGGTGGATTTTCGTCGACGTCCAGATAACAAATAGACTTTGACGTATACATCTGGTAGTTCATTAGATCCAGGTATCAGCTGTTGAAACAAAAATTGCAACGAAAAAAGTTGGATTTGATACAACGGAACCTTGTAGACAAAAGAAAACAATCACACGAAGATACGGAACCGAACTCACCAGTGCGCGACCGTGTTTAATCAACAAATCCAGCTGTTGCATATTCTCGCTCAGACAAAGTTCGAGTTGTAGAGCTGGCAGGCTGTCAGCCACACGTTGCGCTGCTGCGGCCGAACAGAAATCTCGAGGATCCACTGCCGGCCCGATTGTGGCTACAGACGGAGTCAGCAATGGCAGAGTGAAGTCCGAACGGGAACGATCGCTAGACAACGGTAACTCGCATGGCAGTTGTGTGGGAGCCCAAAATGCCATCTGAGAAGAGCCGGCAGCTAGATGTGGAAGAGGAAAAGAAAACGTTATCAGCTACTAATTTGCAACTGGTGTTTTCACCGCCTACTTCGCTAAAGAACAGAAGACTGAAATCAGTTTGCAACCACTACTGCGTGCTTCTAGGGCAGATAAAACCAACCTGGTCCGGTTTTTCGCGTGATCGGATGATGTGAGCCGGGTGAAAGAGAACATTTGAGGAAAAGAACGGCAAATCAAGGTCATTTGAACAGAATCACATTCTCTGGTAAGAGCAGAAACTTGATAACCGTTTGTGTACGAAATCAACTGACCTGGCGTAACGGGATATGTACTTCAAGACATTGTGTGTGTGTGTTTGTGTAGAAAGCAAAGCAGAGCAGATTCAAATTGTACGTGTGTGTGTTTGTGTGTGAATCGAACTTTGTCGTAAAACGGTTTTGCTTTTCTTGTTGTTTTTGTCGTGTGCACGTCACGCTTGGACGCATTCTGTGGGTGACCACAGGATCTCTCTTGTGCGTGACATTTTGTACGATAAAATTATTTACACAGGTGCACACAAGCACAAACGAACACACATACACACAAGTACACATGTGAGAATCAACACGAAAACGCGTGGATGAGGACGCCGTTCAGATCGCATCCGCCTCTCGGCACACAATCGTCGGGGAGGGAGAGGCAACTGAGAAAACCAGATGAACAAGCAACCTTCACATAATAGCGACTGAACGAAACTCAATCATTGATGGCAATTATGTACAATTGACCATGTCCGAATTCAGAATCAGTGGATAGAAATAAAAATAGTGTAACAGGGAGAGGCAGGGCGAGTAATGGAATACTGCATTTGTTAAACACAGTGTACAGTGTGTAAACACAACAAAGCGATTGAAGGGAATATCTATAAAGTGAAGTATCGATGATAAGGTTGCCTCCTGCAACTGAGAAGCGTTTCAATCCTCATCTTTTTGATTATTTAATTAATTTGCTTTTACATCAAAAGCAAAACCTGTAGAGTGCGGGGTTATCAATAACCGAACAAGAAACTTAGATTGCCTCCGCTTTCGGCCCATCTCGTTATATACGCCAACAAGAACCCTGTTCTTGTACACTAACTTGCCCCGGTCTATCAGTTTATGGGGAACAACTGCCAAGTCAATTGAAACGAAATAGCACGCGATTGTACGGTAAACTTTGCATCTTGTAATACAGTTAAAGAGGAGAATCAAGTGAACTCTTGACTTGAATTGGTTCGCATTTCCGGCTTGCAAAAAGTGAAATTGTATAAAGGGAAAATCACATATGTGAGATTCAAAATAAAATTCTGCAAATGGATGTTTGGCAGATTTGAAGTTTGTATGGCTATTGTGATAAGTTCAATGGCCTCGGTGGGATTCAAACCCATGGACGCCACCTCTGCTTTTTACGCGCACGCTCTACCAGCTGAGCTACGGACCACACCGATAGCAATAATCGTTTCACATTCTTATTACCCATTCAACTTACAGCGGCATATGGCATCCACCAATTAGAATGTAAGCTGACTGCCCGACAGGTTTTCCTTAGAATTCACAGGAGTCAGCGTAGGCGTAGGCGGCGTCCATGCGTGGGTTCGAATTCCACCGAGACTGCTGAACTTTTCACAATCGGCATACAAAATAAACTTTCACAATTCAGAAAAAATCGAGCACAATTCTAGAAATTGAAAATCCGACAGCCGAGACCCTTGGAAATAAAACTGTGATGAAGTTGGAAAAAATGCAGTCGAGCAGTCCGATTTCCTTTAGCTCACTGATTGGTTTTCCACGAAATTCTCGATGTTGCTCATACAATTCAACTCGAACTGGAAAAACGAATCCGAGCACGTCTTCATGGGCAACGAGCATCGGGATCAACTTTTCCACACATTTATTTTTTGGTCATCGTGTGAAAACCAATTAATCATTAGGCAGAATCTGATAATCACGCGTTCAGTTCATCGGTGTAGCCCGATCCACGTGGAGATCTCAAGGAACGCATGATCGTTCCAGTTTGCCCTGTCTGGTTCGTAACATGCGGTATTCCACGTTCTATAATTCGAATCGCGTGAGAAAGCTGATCTTTTTGTTATTCGCACATAATCATGTGATGTCTCACCGTTGAGAGCGAGAGAAAGCCTCGGTGTTCTGTTTGCTGTTACTCCCGTTCTCCTCTGACTTGACAAGCTATCTTAGTTTGAGTATGTTTGTGTGTATGTATGTGTGTATCTAAATTTAGGGACAGCATGACTGAATAAAACGAAAGCTTTTGTTCAATTGCACCAATATGAGACACGTGGTTGACTGTGATAGAAGATCTAAGGAAGTCGGTTACGATGAGTAAAACTGATTTTCCAGAATTTACAAATGCTCACACAAGATTGAGAAGAGAGGGGGACAAATCAAGGGGCTGGGTACAATCGACCATGAACTAGAATCCTTACGTGGTATTATTATTATTATTATTGTGTCGTACAAAAACCGTACCTTCTGAATCTTACCCAGACTGAAAATCGAATTTCATAACGATAAACGTGAGCAATAATAAAATATGTAAAAGCACATTCCAGTTATTGTTAATCTCAAACACAGCAAACGAAAGTAAAATGAGACTGTGATTTCGTCCAGTCAATGTTATAAATCCGGCTACGTGATTTGTGATAGTAATCAAGTATCCACAGGTCATTGGAGTTCAACAATAGGAACTAATAAAGAGATTCACCCAATTAAAAACATGTACTTCTGCATACGTTTCTGATTGGGAAAGTTAAAACTGTGTGCACTGATTTGCTCGTCCGTTGATTCATCATTTATTTGCTTCATGATAAATACGAAATAAGCAAAAGTGCAATTGTTAGTGGAAATAAACGAACAGATTTCATATTTTGTTAACAAAAGTTTATTAACAAAACTCGCTTCCCTCTACGGTTATGGAGTCTGGCTTGTATATTTGGTCCGTATGTATGGTCTGAATAGCCTCACCGAGCACATTTCAAACAGAGCAGCAGAATGGCAAACAAGCTCGCTTTCAGTGATGTGTATTCATGCCAATACATTGGAGGGTATATCATTTCTTTGGAAAATAAAATCTCATCACAGATGAATGCAATTAATTT